GTATAAAATACAATCCAAATGCAAGCCCCCAACTCCTAGAAGAAGGCTTCTCTAGCTGAAAACACTCACCCCCCAAGCCTTTTCTAGCTGAAAGCACTGAACCCCAAGGCAGAGCAGATCCTGGATGGCCAATGGGAAGAGGAGGAGAAACAGGAGACAGGTGCTCTATGTTGATGGTCTCACATACCAGCCTTCCGCCTCGCAGGTAAACTAAAATCTGGAGGGAGCAAGACAGCTCAGCCTCCCAGAGTGCAAACTGGTGCGCACGCAAGAGTCATTCCATGTGCCTCCTCCCCACAAACTCTCTGGGTTTCAAATTATTAACCTGCTTAACTCTAGTTCAGAGATAAGTGCTGCTGGGAGTGGGATGGGGAGGAGGAGGGTGTCACAATTCTCCTCCATGTGAAAGTCCCTTCCCAGGAGCAAAGAGCATCTCCGCCCAGCTTCTCAGAATGTCCTAATTACTTCTAATAGTAAATCTTCTAAACCAGCCTTGCAAATAATGTCTAACCTCTCAACCAGAGGCAGTAATGAGTCATCACATGAGATCACTTGGAGATACCTGAAGAGTACAGCTGGGTTAGTAAGAAAAGAATTAAAGTACTGGCTGGCATAACTGGGCAAAATTTACCACACTTGTCTAAACATCTCCTGACAGCCCATCGTCATTGCCACAAGGAGCCTGGAAAAATCCACTACCTGACAAACTGCATGGCTTATACTCACATTTACGAATTTATAGTTGAAAACCCCCTTGAAAAAACTGCAGAAAAAGTAAAGCACAGAGAGAGAAAGAGATGTAGCTTGCCTCAAAGTAGGAGTGAGATTGTAGTTAAGACATGGACTCAAATCCCAGTGTCTGGATTTGAATCTTGCCCCATCACCCTCCAGGAGGGTGACTTTACCTATCTAGGCCTCCATTTCCTTCTTTGTAAAATGATCATAAAAATGTCTTAAGTTAGGCTTGTTCTGAGCATTCAGTGATCCAGGTAATGGCATTTAGCTCATTGTAAGTGCCTGATAAGTGTGTGGGGAATGGGAGGTGTGAGTGTTTAAATGAGCTTTGAGATGGAGAAGAGAAGTCCACACCCCCACAACAGAGAAGTTTAAAACTAGCCCCAAGTTAGCCTGCTGACGATGTCTACCACTACTCACCCCACCCCCACGGAGACAAGTCTGCCCTCACTCATGGTGCTTGTTCTAGAACAAATCCCAATGTGATTCATCTAAATTCTGGTAACATCAAACATATACAGTAAAAATAGTCTTAAGACTATGGAGTCCAAAGGTTTAAATTTCACAGAGGTACAAGACTTGTACTGATTGTTACAGAAATTAAAGAACATGTTACAGAAATTAAAGAACATAACATCCCATGTTCATGGATAGGAAGACTTACTATATATAATATGGCCATACTCTCCAAACTGACCCACAGAGTCAATGCCATCCCCATCAAAATTCCAGCAAACTATTTTGCAGAAATTGACAATCTGATTCAAACATTCACATGGAAACACAAGGACTTAGTGTTAAAAATGAAACAATATTAAAAAAGAAGAACAGGGGGACGGCACCTGTGGCTCAAAGGAGGAGGGCACCAGTCCCATATACCAGAGGTGGTAGGTTCAAACCCAGCCCCAGCCAAAAACTGCAAAAAAGAAGAAGAACAAAGTTGTAAGACTCTTCCAGACTTCAAAATTTGCCACAAAGCCATAGTAATTCAGACAATGTGTAGTACTGATGTAAGAATAGACATATAGATGAATGGAACAGAATTGAGAGTTCAGAAGTAAATCCATAAATTTCTCCCCCCTTTTTTTTGAGACAGAGTCACACTATGTCACCCTCGGTAGAATGCCATGATGTCATAGCTCACAGCAACCCCCAACTCTTGGGCTTAAACGATTCTCTTGCCTCAGCCTCCCAAGTAGCTGGGACTACAGGCACCCACCACAATACCCGGCTATTTTTTGTTGCAGTTGTCATCATTGTTGCTTTAGCAGGCCCAGGCCGGGTTTGAACCTGCCTGCCCTGGTGTATGTGGCCGGCACCCTAACCACTGAGCTTCGGGTGCCAAGCTGTATATCCATATTATGGCTGATTGGTTTTCAACAAGACTTGCAAGACAATTCAATGGAGGGGAAATAGTATTTTGAAACACATGCTGCAGGGATAACTCTGTGGGTTTCAAATTATTAACCTGCTTAACTCTATTGCAGAGATAAGTGCTTGCTGGGAGTGGGATGGGGAGGAGGATTGGTTTTTAACAAGACTTGCAAGACAATTCAGTGAGGGAAAACAGTACTTTAAAACACATGTTGCTGGGATAACTGGATAACCATGTGCAAAAGAATGAAGTGGAACTTCGCATCCTCATACCATACATAGAAATTAACAAAAAATGGATCCAAAGCACCTAAAATGTAAGCACTAAAACTATGAAACTCTCAGAAGAAAACACAGAAGCAAATCTTCATGATCTTAGATTAGGCAATGGTTCTTAAATATGCCACTAAAAACAGACAACAAAAGAAAAATAGGGCAGAGCCCATAGCTCAGTGCGTAGGGCACCAGTCACATACACCGGGGCTGGTGGGTTCCAACCTGGCCGGGGCCTGCTAAAACAACAATAACTGAAACAACAACAACAAAAAAATAGCCAGGCGTTGTGGTGGGCACCTATAGTCCCAGCTACTTGGGAGGCTGAGGCAACAGAATCGCTTAAGCCCACGAGTCTGAGGTTGCTGTGAGCTGTGACACAACGGCACTCTACCCAAGGTGACAGCTTGAGATTCTGTCTCAAAAAAAAGAAAAAAGAAAAAAGAAAAATATATAATTGGACACCATCAAAATTAAAAACTCTTCTGCTTCGAAGGATACCAACGAGAAAGTAAAAAGAAAACCCATAGAACAGAAGAAAAGTCTTTGCAAATCATATATCCAGAATATAAGCCCTATAATAAAAAGATAACCCTATTTAAAAATGGTCAAAGGATTTGGATGTATATTGCTGCAATTCAAATATACAAATGAACTATAATCACAAGAAAGGATACTCAGCATTATTAGCCACTTGGGAAATGCAAGTCATAACGGTGAGATACCACTTCCTAGCCACGAGGATGACTATAATAAAAAATACAGAGGGAACGAGTATTGGTGAAAATGTAGAGAAATTGTAAGCCTTACACATTGCAGCTGCTTTGGAAAGTAGTTTGGCAGTTTCTCAAATAGTGAAACAGAGACATCAACATCTATCACAGACATACACATAGATCTAAAATGATTCCATTCGTATGAAATGTCCAGAACAGGCAAAACCATGAAGACAGGAAGTAGATTAGTGCTTGCTGAGAGCCAGGGAGCACTCCGCGGGGAGTGACTGCCTGTGAGCAGGGCCTTTCTTTCTGAGACGATGAAAGTGATCTGAAGTTAGTGGTGATGGTTGCATAAGGCCGGGAATACTAAAAGCACTAAGTTACACACATGAAGGGGGCAAATTTTGTCATGTGAATTGCATCTCAATAAAATTGTTATTTCAAAGCAAAACAAAAATAAGCTGAGGGTTCTAGGTGTCCCTTATGACTATGTGGCTGACAGGGTGAGCTGCAGGAAGGCACCCATGGCTCCCTGTTCTGTCTCCTCTCCAGCTACTTCCCACACAGCACTCCCTCAACCCCGGCCACAAAATTCCTGCCCATGCCTGACCATCAACTGCTGTACCAGCAGCAAGAATGAAAACAAAATGGCCCAAGTTTCTTGTGAACTGTGTTGTTAGAACTGCTCCCACCACATGAGCGAGCCCACTGGAGCTGACCTGGGTTGCTGTGGGAAACCTGTCCACAGAGGGACCTTCCAACAGCACCCAACGCCCGTGTGACCAGCCCCTACCTCTTACTTCCTGGGCTTCAGCTCCCTGGTAAGGCTGCCAGACAGAATCCAGGACACCCAGTTACACTATAATTTCAGGTAAGCAAGCAACAATTTTTTGGTAGATGCCTCAAATACCAACTTATTCATTGCTCATCTGCAATTTAAAATTTAACTGGGTGTCCTGTATTTTTATTTGCTAAATCTGGCAACCCTACATGTGGGCCATGGACCACAATCTCACCTTGAGACCTTTGCTTTTCCTTTTTTTTTTTTTTTTTGGCAGTTTTTTGGCCAGGCTGGGTTTGAACCCGTCACCTCCAGTATATGGGGCCGGTGCCCTACTCTTTTGAGCCACAGGCGCCACTCAACCTCTGCTTTTCTTTCTGCCTGCAGTTCTTTCCCCCCAGGTAGCCACAGTTTCACACTTCGGCTCTTTGTCAAAACACCACCTTCTCATCATAGGGGTGTCTTCTAAGCACCAACTTCTCCCTGGCACTCCCATGCCCCTTCCCCTGAGCATTCACCACCATGTGACCCTAACTATCTAGGGGTTAGCTGTCCACTTTCCCCTCTATATTCTGGAGACTTCTTCCTGGAGGGCAGGCCTTCTTTTACTCACTGCTGCATTCCCAGTGCTTAGAATAGGGCTTGGCACGGAGTAGGCACTATGTTAATATTTACTGAATGAACAGAAATGTTCTGCATGGGTTATCTCATCTAATCTTCTGAAGGGCCCTACGAGACAACTATTATCATCAACTGTGTTTCATAAACAAGGAATCTGAGCACAGAAAGCCAGATAATTCACCTAGAAGCCCACTGCACGTGCAAGAGACAGACCCCAAAGGCCACAATCTGATCCACCTCCCTGCACTAGCTCACTGTCACAAGGCAGAGGGGCAACCTGGAGAGGGGGCAGCAGGTGTTTCTGACCCCTTCTACTTAGAGTACTCTGGGCTAGATGAGGGAAGGAGCCACCGACACATCTGAATGTCTGTAATTGCATCAGAAACCTTGATCCTGGAATTTTACACTATTGAACAATTATTGTTAAATATAAAGTATTCCAAATAAGCACCTAAGCCTGCATTAATGGAGACGTCTGTGTGGATAGATATACTCACTTTTATTTCTGCTTGAACGGCAGGATTGCGGAAATTTAAATCAGGTTGCTCTTTTGTAAACTGATGGAAATAGCATTGGTTTCGCACGTCGTCAAAGTCCCAACTGGAGTTTCCATAGACACTTAACTAGCAAACAAAGGAAACAGCACATCAGTTATGCAGCATTATTCATTGATAGTACTGCCCACAAAGACATGATCCTTGCCATCCCAGGCTCCCTGCAGCAGAGTGGCTAATCCTGAAAGTTTTCCTTGTGGGGAAAGTACTAGGCTAAGTTAACAACCCCCCTCAGATACCCCTTATTGGCCTAGTACCTCATAAACATGGTTTGGAAATTTACTTTTGTAAATAGTCAATTTGGGAGAAAGACACATTCCATTGGTGTTCGAGCTCATGTTCAAATAGTATTTAAAATGTATCCCCCTTGGCAGCGCCTGTAGCTCAGTGGGTAGGGCACTGGCCACATACATCTAGGCTGATGAGTTCTAACACCACCTGGGCCAGCTAAACAGCAATGACAACTGCAAAAAATAAATAAATAAATAAATAAAATATATCCCCAGAAAATTATTAGAATAAATCACTTTAAAACTCTACTAATCTCCAGGAATAAAAATCTAGCCACTTTGAGTCCTGGTACCCAGCCATGTTGGATCCATCCTTTCTAGACATGCTCAGGTCCCTGGAGAGGGACACACGACACGTGTTCCCTGGTTGGCTCACACATCTTTGGCCCTTCCTTCTTAGTCTACTCTGTGGGCCCTTAAGTGGGAGAGTTTGTTGGGGCTCTGCCGTAGGCCTTTTGTCCATTTCATACTAAGAAGAATATCTGGAAAACATTTTAAAACTGGGGGATTATGCATAAATTTCTTTCTTTAGAGTTAGAAGATTTGGTCACCCTGGGTCCACACTGCCAGGGCAACATCAGGCTGATGCCACGTAGTAGCTGCTGCCTTTCAGGGAAATGTGCCCTCAACGGTTCACCACATGGCCCCCCAGGACCCGAACGAGCATAAATTATTTATAGTATATATGACCAATAAAAGATCAGCATCCAGAATATAAAAAGAAATCCGGAAAGCAATTTCAAAGGGACAAACAAGCCAAAGAACTGGGGAAAGAAACCATAAAGAGGTATTTCACAGAAATGGAAGCACAAATGAACAAATGTATAAAAAGATATTCAACAGTGGGCAGAGCCTGTGGCTCAGTGGGTAGGGCACCAGCCCTATATACCAGGGGTGATGGGTTCGAACCCGGCCCCAGCCAAACTGCAACAAAAAAATACCCGGGTGTTGTGGCAGGCGCCTGCAGTCCCAGCTACTCAGGAGTCTGAGGCAAGAGAATCGCCTAGGCCCAGGAGTTGGAGGTCGCTGTGAGCTGTGACACCACAGCATGCTACCAAGGGTGACATAGTAAGATTGGGTCTCTGGCTTGGCACCTGTGGCTCAAGTGGCCAAACTGCCAACCACATACACCTAAGGTGGCGGGTTTGAATCCAGCTCGGGCCCACCAAAACAACAATGACGGCTGCAACCAAAAAATAGCTGGGCATTGTGGCAGGCACCTGTGGTCCCAGCTACTTGGGAGGCTGAGGCAAGAGACTCGCTTGAGCCCAGGAGTTGGAGGTTGCTGTGAGCTGTAATGGCACAGCACTCTACTCAGAGGGATAGCTTAAGGCTCTGTCTCCAAAAAAAAAAAAAAATAGGGTGGCACCTGCGGCTCAGTGAATAGGGCGCTGGCCCCATATACCAAAGGTGGCAGGTTCAAACCTGGCCCTGGCCAAACTGCAACAAAAAAATAGCTGGGCGTTGTGGCAGGCACCTATAGTCCCAGCTACTTGGGTGGCTGAGGCAAGAGAATTGCCTAAACCCAGGAGTTGGAGGTTGCTGTGAGCTGTGATGCCATGGCACTCTATCAGGGGCAATAAAGTGAGACTTTGTTTCTAAATATATATATATATACACACACACACACATAATAAGATATTCAACAGTATGAGTAATTTCATTACCACATTAGTGATTAGATAAATCATCAGTAATTAGATAAGTGTGAAATTAAACCTCAGTGTGATACTATTTTATGTTCACTCAAAAATTATAAGGTCCAGCAATACCAAGAATTATGAGAATATGTATTTCATATACTGCTAGAGGGAATATCAGTTAGTACAACCACTTTGATCACCAATTTGACATTATCTTGTAGAGCTGAGCATGCGGTATCCTGCAGTGGTGTCACTCCTGCCCATTGACCTTAAAGGAACCCCTGCACATGTGCCCCAAGATAGATTAATGAGAGTGTTTAAATTGACATTGTTAGTAATAGTAAAAAAGTGGAAACAGCTCAAGTGCCTGTCAACTGAAGAGCTGTCACAGGTACCAAATCATGTATTGGGCACACAATGAAATATTACAGAGTCTCAATTTATCACCCTTGATAGAGTGCTGTACATACCTGTAATTCCAGCTCCTTGGGAGGAGTCCTATGAAAATGTATAAACCATAACTACCTGAAACTACATGAATAAATCTTAGAAACAATAAAAAGCTAGTTACAGAAGACTATAGATAGCATGACAATTATCATAGAGTTCAAAACAGGAAAAACGAAAAAGTAAAATTTTTTTCGTATCTGGGTCTTGCTGTGTTGCCCAAGCTGGAGTCCTCATGGGTGCAACCATAGCTCACTGCAGCCTCCAACTCCTGGGCTCAAGTGATCCTCCTGCCTCGGCCTCCCAAGGAGCTGGAATTACAGGTATGTGCCAGTGGGCCCAGCTCAAGAAGTGAATTTTTAAAAACTATATAGTATATTCAGTATAGTCAAAACAAAAGGCAAGGACTTAGGAAAATCCAAACTCCAAGGTGGTGGTTGCCTCCAAGAGCGAGTGTGGGAAAGGGACAGGGGAGGAGTCCTAGGTGGTGTGAACAGTTCTGATAATGTTTAAGTTCTTACTTGAGGGGCGGAGGAGTCACATTCATTGATGTCCACTATATTATTATATTCTCCAGCTTAGATACATATATATTTAAACAGTTTTATTTAGGTATAATTGAATACAGTAAAATGCACACATTTAAAGTATAGAATGTGACTAGTTTTGACATATATACACTCATAAAACAATTACTATAATCAAGATAGCAAATCCATCCTCCTGGTCTTTTGGAATCCCTTTGTCCCACCCCTGTCTGCATCCCTCCCATCCCTGAACAACCCTTACTCTGCCTCCTGTCACTGTACTTAGTTGGCACCTTCTAGAATTTCATGTGACTGGGATGGTACAGTAGGTGCTCTATTTTTGTCTGGCTTCTGTCACTCAGCATGATTATCCTGAGATTCATCCATGCTGTCACAGGTACCAATGGTTCTTCCTCTTCACCGCTGAGTACTTCATCACAGGTTTATACCACAAAGTGTTTATCCACCAGGCACACAGTCCAGATATCTTTGTGTGTATGATCTATCACCTTAGAAAACTCAACCCGACTGCAGTAGACAAGGATGGAAAAGTTAGAGGACAAAAGAGGCTACTGCGACTGTCCTCCAGGCAAGAGAGGATATGGTTTGAGGTACGGGCAGCGATTTTTAAAAGCAGACTATGGATGTGGACTGACCAGATCCACTCCTTAGCCTTTCATGCAGTAGCCATGTGACCTCAGTTCGCCTGTCTGCAAAGGGAATTACACCCAACTCACAGGATCATAGAGGGGATTAATGACTCATGAATTCAAACACTTAGCATGGAGCCTGGCACATAGTAAGCATTTAGTAAATGTTTGCTAATATCGTCATCAATTTAATGAGTGAATGATTGAACAAAAATTTAAAGAGGTAAAACTGCCAGGCCCTGCTGCTGGCCTGTTTCTCAAGCTGCGTGATGGCACCATTGACTGAACCTGGGGACAGGAGGCTGGATGAAAGGGTCACACTGTCAGCTTGAAACCTGTGTCCTTGGTCATCTAAAAGTTGATGCCCAGGGGCAAACCTGTTGAAGTGTTGATGGAGAAGGTCAAGAAGAGAAAAGGAGGGACTGGCATGGGGAGTGACAATCCAGAGCAAAAGGCTCCAAAGAAAACAGAGAACGCAGCCAGAGCAGGTAGTGAGCTGGGCTGGGACAGAGCAGAGTCACCGGGCAAATACAGGATGCTCAGTCAAATCTGAATTCCAGATAAATAATGCATAAGTTTTTAGTATAAGCATGGCCCATGCAATATGTTATGCTAAAAAAATTGTGGGCTGTTTATCCGAAATTCAGATTTAACTGAGCACCCTCCATTTTTATTTGCTAAATGTGATCACCCCAAATGTGTCGGGCCACCCCCAACAGGAAGAACTTGGCCTCTGTTATAAAAGTGAATAGGAAGGTGGGGAAGAAGGCAGGCAGGCTTGCTGAGGCAGGAAGGATGTCTGAAGAGAAAGAAGAAGGGTACGTTGGTCAGGCGGAGTTAGCAAAGTTCTGAAAAAGGGTGAATGGGTCAGCGCAGGAGCAGACGATCAACATGTGATGTCTCGAGAGGCTCAGGTACCAACGTGCCGCAAAGAGAGAGTCGATGATTTGGTTTTATTTATAGCTCGAGTTTTGTCAGACAGAAAGTCAGAAAGACAAAGGAATCAGGCTAGTAGGAACACAGTTACTGAACTAATGAGACATGGAATCTAGGTTGGATGGGGTGGTAAGTGAAGGAAGGAGGCAAGAAGGGGCTAGGAGAGAGCATAGTTTTTAATTTTCTAGAACACTCCAGCTGGACAATGAAGTCAAAAGTCTAAATAATATTTGGAGGCCTGGATAGCTTATTTCTATTTCTTTGGTAAAATTTTCCACTTGTCCATAAATTATATCCATTAATGTTTTTCCTTAACGGGGCTTTATAATCAGTTAATTTAGTCATTGCAGGGCTGCCCCTCTTCCCTTTGTAAATCAGGCAAGTTGCTACTTACCCAGTTGTTGGGTGGTATGGTTGTGCCATTTTCACGGGTACAGTCATGCCAGATATAATAATCAGTATATTTCCCTGTCCGTGTCCGACTCAATTGAAACCAATCATGTTTATCACTGGTGTGGTTTGGTATGAAATCAATTATTAATTTTAAACCTGATGAGTGAAAACATTTCAAATATTAGGAAAAGGCTGTATTAGAATATTATACAATGTGGCATGTGCACACGCTTGTAATCCCAGCACTTTGGGAGGCCAAAGCAGGAGAATCGCCAGGAGGTTGAGACCAGCCTGGGCAAGATAGTAAGATACATTTCTATTTTTTTTGAGACAGAGCCTCAAGCTGTCCCCCTGGGTAGAGTGCTGTGGCATCACAGCTCACAGCAACCTCCAACTCCTGGGCTCACGCTAGTCTCCTGCCTCAGCCTCCCAAGTAGCTGGGACCACAGGCACCCACCACAACGCCTATTTTTTGGTTGCAGCCATCATTGTTGTTTGGCGGGCCCAGGCTAGATTCGAACCTGCCACCTTGGATGTATGTGGCTGGTGCCTTAGCCACTTGAGCCACAGGCACCAAGCCCATTTCTATTTTTTTTAAAAAGAGTAACACATTACAGTTAAGGGGAAAAAATGCTTTAAGCATTTGGAGACGTGCCTTTCTCAACCCTCACCCCCATCCCATCCACTTCCCATTTAATGTACCTTTATTATGTATGGCTGCAACCAGATTCTCAAAATCTTTCATTGTTCCAAAAATGGGATCAATTTCTTGGAAGTCGTCAATACCATATCTGAAATCTTTAAGGGATGATTTATAAAATGAAGTAATCCAAATAGTCTTTGCATTTAAAGTTGTGATGTAGTCCAATTTATCTTGAATACCTGAAAGAACAAGTCAAGGTCTTGAGTAAATCTGTTTATTCATTTTAATTAAAGAATTAAAAATTTAGCAAATATGCCTAAGATACAGGGTGGCCATAAAGTTACTATTTTAAATTACACATGAATTTTACGGCTACCCCGTGTATTTGGGATTTTGTCAAATATAAGTAAACTTCAAACAGCAGGGTCTAGCTCTACACTTAACATCAAATTAGTCATCTGGCAATAAATGGTGACCTTTAACACAGATGGTTAGCCTTTTTAAAATCTGCAACTTGTTCATATTTAATATTTAAAGCCAAGGCCACAGTATTGTTACTTTGCATGGTTTCTGAGCCCTTAGTCTAGGCCAAGTGTGAGGCTAAGTGTCAAGTAACAAAAGCAGAGTAACACATGCCCCAACCCCAACGGTCACATGGTCTAAGCCGCACTACCCAGTCTAGTAGTCCCTTGCCATGTGACTAGCCTGGACTGAGATGTGCTGTAGGAGAAAAACACACACCAGATTTTGAAGACCCAGTACAAAAAGAAAGAATGAAAAATATCCCATTGCTATTTTTATACTGATTACTCATTGAAATGATACATGGATATATGGGATTGAACAAAATTTATTAAAATTAATTTCACATGTTTTTTTTTCCTTTCCTTAATGTGGCTGCCAGAAAATGTATAATTCTATAAGTGGCTCATATCACCTTTCCGGTGGACAGTGTTGGTCCAGCAAACGTAGACAGGCAGGAATGGGATGACACCAGACTAGAGGAAGAGCTATGGAAGGGCCAAGAAAGAGCTTGCAGGACAGACAGGGGCTAGCTCTGACTGCCTGGGGCAGAGGAAGGCCCTGAGAGGACAGGGAGAGAGAAGGTCACAGGAGGGCATGGGCAAGGGGGTCAGAGTGAAGGGCTTCCAGAAATGGAAAGGAGAGAACCAGATACACAGGGCATGTCTAAAAAGGGGTGACAAAAGTTACCTACAGACTAGGGAAGCCATACAACGAGGGGCTGCAACAAGGAGCTGGAAGGTGCGTTCCTGCCAACATTTGAGGGGCTTTTTGTTTTACTCTCAGGCTTTGCACCAACTGAATTTGAACCTTTTCCCTTGCTCACTTACAGAGGAAGCCAAGAATTTACACAAAAGAGAAGTTTAGGTTTGGCTGAGAAGAGCTGTGGAAGTGAAACTCTTTGTGTTTGAACTTGGTGGGATGATTAGCAGATAGTGTGTTTTTGCTTCTGGTTCAGAATGCTAAAAGCAGATTCAGAGACTTGAGTCAAGTATTCGATCTCCAGCACCTTTCTGTGTGATCTCCATGTGGCTTCCTAGCATCAGAGACTTTCAGGGTCCACATAGCAAGTGAAGGTCAGTAAGACCAAAGCAGCAAGTCACCAGACCCCTGGGATCTAAGCTCTTCCCCATAACATGCTTATTTTTGCCCTCTCTGTGCCCCATTTTCCCCAGACTATGGCTGTGAGATCTTACAGGGTATCATCAGGCAACAAAGGGTTTTGATCTAAGCCAGAACAGTAGCACAACCTAGCTTAAGAATAGACAGGCACAAAGTACACAAGAGATCCCGGCCCCACACTCCAGGGGAGGAAGGCAATCACCGAAACCAAACTGAAGCCTGAGATGGTTTCTTCATGATAATAATAACAATGAAACCCCCTCAACCCCCAAAGACTACTGACTACAGGAAGTAACAGTCCTTCAAGGAAAAGTTATTGGAAATGACAAAGGTTAGATCTGATTAGAAACTGCCATGTGTATTAGAATTTTTGGTCTATCTAGAAAGAGATTAGGAAGGCAGTGCCAGGAAGTGGACAGATTATCTCTGGATTTAGAGATTTTCAGTCTATTCAGTTAAAACAGCACTTTTGCTAAGCAGTCACTGTAAAAAAGGCAGCGGGTGCTAAGGTCATGTGGCAGGGGGAACGGAAGCCACTTAGCTATGTTACAAGGCGGGATCAAAGGGTGCTAGAGACACAGTGGAAAGCACCGGAGTCCGGGGAGGGAGCCCGTGCTCTGATGGGGGAGATTTCACAAAGATGAAAGAAGGCAAATGGGTTTGAACTCCACCTTGAAGGACAGAGCTATTATTCTTCAATTAGGGACAATGCAGGTGGATGTTAAAAAGAGAAAATGCGTGTGTAAAAGAAAGCCTCTTTTTGTTATGAAGGAAAGTTGGTGGTTTTAAGAGTTCATTTGTAACGTTTAAAAGATGTAAAAGATAATGTCTAAAAGATTCAACCCATTCCTATTTCCCACGCTGCCATCATTCTGTTTTATTTTCTTCAAACCAATTATTATTGGAAAACATTAGCTTATTAGTTTGTTTCGTACTGTTGCCCTTTAATTAGGGTAACCATACCAACAAATTGGCTCAGGACCATCCCCGTATGCCTCGCATCACTTCCGTCTTAGCAGTATGCTCCTTTGAGCAATACACTTTAAACATTCTCTACACATAACTCCCCGAGGAATGATTAGCTTTTAAAAAGTAATTTTTCACCTTTTCCCCCAGAGATCAGTTCTCACTATATTGTCCAGTCTAGACTCAAACAAGGCTCCACTTCAGCCTCCTGCGTAGCTGGGATTGCAGAGCGCCCCCGCATCCGGCTTAGTTTTCACTACTGTTTGCTATTAACATGAACTTTGTTTTAAACAATCCTTAATTCAAGTAACAATGAACATACACTATGGTTTTTATCCTTCCCTTCATTTCTTGGGACTTAAATGTTAACATTCAGCCCATATGCCTTTTAAAGACATCACATCATTTTTTCTAACATATTTTTTATGCTGTACTCACTAATAAGCTCTCAGCCACACGGCCAAACTACCCACATCATAGCCTGGGAAAGCAATTCTAGCTGTCACTCGGACACAGTCAGCTACAAAGTGCATAGAAGCAGGAAATGAATTTTAGGGGAAAACTCGTCCTACCAAGAAGTAGACTTGATATCCAAACAAGCCAACGTACTTAGTAGGCAATCAATTAAGCAACTCATTTGGCTCTGAGGCGGGCAGCAAATAGCCTTTTATCAAGTAGAAGAACTGCTAGGTCCTACTGAGTAATTTCTTTTTAATATCATAAACAAAAAGAAACTGAGCATGACCAGTCATACTGGAATGTGCTTAGGGAACGATCCAGGCAGGATTTGGTTTCAAGGAACGAGAGAGCAATAAACCAGCCTCATCCTGGCTGTCTCCCTGAGCTACCGCAGGTTACGCACCTTTCAGATCTCCGTTCCCATCCTTGTTACTGTCCTTGAAAGACCTCGGGTAGATCTGGTACATGGGCCCCTCCTGCCACCAGTCAAGACACTTTGGAGAGATGATGATGATGGCTATGGTGATCCCAATGAGCACAAGCACAGAAGCTACAGTGAGCCAGAAGAGGACCTCCCGGGGCACCCGGTAGCGGGCCTGGCCCGAGAACTGGAACAGCACTTCCTTGGGCATCCCTGCGTAGGGCTGGACACCCTGGAAGTCAGGCTCCCCGGAGCCCGTGACACCCACTGCACCGTGCTGCAGGCTGTCTGCTGAGCTGCCTGGATCTGGGTCCTGCTCTAGGTTGTCTTCATTTTGGACGAATCCGTTGTTTATCCGACATCCCTCCGTACTCATCTTGATAGAGTCTCTCTTGCTTTCGTCCTCAGCCATGTCTCATCAGCTCACCCCTTCGGAGTGCCTTCCTACAGGAACGCAGGTGGAAATGTGGCTTGCTGAATGCTTGTTCTTGTTAATGAGCTTTGCGTGGTTTATAAATAAACCTGGCTGGACAAAGTCCAGCCAAGGAATAAAGGTTAAAGGTAAAGGGGGTTTAAAAGAAATTCTCTTCACATCTGTGAAACTGCTTTAGTTACAGTAACAATAATGAGAGGGTTGGGTTCCAGAGTGGAGTGGGGCAGAGGAGAGAAACAGAACAAAGAGGCATGGTTCCATTGTAATGTAAGATGTTGCTTTGTTGAATACTCCAGCGTTCATAGCAGCATTATTCACAGTAGTGGAAAGGTGGAAACAACACCAATGTCCATCAGTAGATGAATGGATAAACGAAATGTGTTGTACACATACAATGGAATCTAGTCTTAAAGAGGACTGGAAATCTGACATATGCTACAACATGGATGAACCTTGAAAGCACTGTGCTAAGTGAAATAAGCCAGGCAAACAAGCAAACAAACAAATGAAGGCGGGGAGGGGAAAAGCACGTTTAAGTGCCTTACTAGCAGTAAACAGTTAAAACTACCACTAACGAATTGTTCAATCACAAATTAGCGTAGAATACATTTGCGAGTCTGAGAAAACTGCATTAAAGTTAGAGGTGATTTCCTAGGAGATTTTCAAACCTTAAAAGAATGTAATGATTCGTGATTTCCATTTGATCAGCAGCACTTACACAGCTCTATGAATCATTTGATCAGATAATGAGATCTTTTTTTTCTTTAAATGAAGAAAGTTATCTGAGTCCCTAATCTTACTGTTGTTTTTTTTTTGTTTTGTTTTGTTTTGTTTTGTAGACTGACTTAGAAGCAGTGTACAGAGGAATGAGCTACTTGATTGATCGTGGCCAAATTTAAATGAGCAGATTCCAACAGCCGGCTCATTGAACACATCCAAATGACTGGCCTCTTCAATCATTCGTTACTAATTATGCACATTGAATCCTTTATTTTTGTTTCTTATTATTGTTCTATCTCTGAAATACATAATGAAAATTTTTACTTCAGGGCTGATTCTTTTTTTTTTTTTTTGCAGTTTTTGGCCAGGGCTGGGTTTGAAACCACCACCGCTGGCATATGGGGCCAGTACCCTACTCCTTTGAGCCACAGGGGCCACTCTCAGGGCTGATTCTTGAAGTTGAGTTACTATTTGGGGAAGAAAAACAATGGACAAAAATTTCATAGTTTTAAAATAATTTTAGGCTCGGCGCCTATAGCTCAACTGGCTAAGGCGCCAGCCACGTACACCTAAGGTGGTGGGTTCGAATCCCCAGCCCGGACCTGCCAAAACAACAATGACGGCTGCAACCAAAAAATAGCGGGGCGTTGTGGCGGGCGCCTGTGGTCCCAGCTACTTGGGAGGCGGAGGCAGGAGACTTGCTTGAGCCCAGGAGTTGGAGGTTGCTGTGAGCTGTAATGCCACGGCACTCTACCCAGGGGGACAGCTTGAGGCTCTGTCTCAAAAAAAAATAATAATAATAATAATTTTAAATTATTAAAAAACCTTTAATGACAAACCTTAAATTCTAAATGGACAATCATATTAATTCAGAGAAAATCCCACCTCACAGCACCGTATCTTCGTGGCAGAAGTATTACATATCCTCTTCTCCACAGTTTATTTAACAACATCAATGATACTTTGAACTTTCAGAACATGCAAAGTACAAGCATTTTAAGAACAACCTAGAATAATGATCTGGTCTCTGGTGGGAGGATCTTTTAAATTTCAGATTTATATGAGGGTACAAATGATTAGGTCACATTGTTCATTTTATTAGGTGAAATCCAAGTGGTAGCAGAGCCCTTCACCCAGGAGGTGTGCCATATACCCTTACATTGGGAGGATTTTTTTTTAATAATAAAAGGAATTATAAAAGAAGATTGGTTGAATTGATTGGATAAACCTTCAAATTCAAATTCATTATATTACAAAACACACTCATTGGAGAGTATGCTGTCACCTTCAAAGTACTCCTGCTGGCCATGTGGTGACCCAAGTGATACTCAGCAATGAGTTATGTAGCACTTTTTCTATAATGAGTTTGCAAACTTAATTGTCTCACCTCATAAGATAAATTGGGAAATGTATTTATAATAAATATACCAAAGAACTTGTCTTTAACACTAAAGGGACGTGTATATTGTTAGACATTATGTACCCACATATGAAATTTTTTATCAATTTTAAAATATAAATGTCAGTAGGAAACTTTAAAAAAGAATATAAACAGATATTTCACACAAATACTAATATCAGAAAAATAAATAAGCACTTTCAATCACATTAGCAAAGAATTTTTTAAAAGATAGTAGAGCTTGGCCGGGTGCAGCGGCCCACACCTGTAATCAACCCTAGCACTCTGGGAGTCTGAGGTGGGTAGATTGCTTGAGCAAGAGAGAGACCCCATCTCTACTAAAAATAGAAAAATTAGCCAGGCATTGTAGCAGGTGCCTGTGGTCTCAACTAATCAGGAGGCTGAGATAAGAGGATCAGGAGCGTAGGAGTTTGAGGTTGCTGTGAGTTAGGCTGATGCCATGGCACTCTAGCCTGGGGCAACAGAGAGAGACTCTGTCTCAAAAAAAAAAAGAAAAAAGAAGATAGTAGCGCTGGCAAGGGTCCAGTATAAACAGACAGTAATCCTTGCAAGTAATTTGGCAATGTGTATCATGAGCTTTAACATTTATTTTAAGGTAATAAAGTGAGGCTACCCCTTCTGGAATTTAAAACAAAAACTCCCTAAAAATAAAGAGGTGAGAATAGATAGGTCAAGAGATCAGTTAAACATATTGGAGTCACCAAAAATAGACTACAATATAAGGGAATATGTAAGAAATTCTAAAATAGGTAAAGGTAACATTTCAAATCACAGAGAAAAAGAAAGATTATTTAGGCAGCTAGATAACAGCCTAGCTATTCTGAAAAGCAAATAAAGCTAAAAGGGTGTGCCAGCTCATACCTACAATCCCAGCACTTTAAGAGGCAAACATATTTTCAGAGATTTTTTAATGACATGGGAAAAAAATTCACATTATTGTATTGAATAGAAAAGTTTAAGATATAAAGAAATTGTCCTGATTATGTAAAAAAGTGTTATGTTTACTTGTAAAGTCCTGCTAGAAAACATGTTTAAAGTGTTAATCTCTGTGTTCTAAGATTATTGGTGACACTCATTATGTTACTTTTTTTTTTTTAGGGAGGAGTCCTTTTATTGAAGAGCTGGATGGCAACTGCCTCATCATTATGTTCTTTAAACCATTTTGGATCTAAGTTTTCTTTTTTTTTTTTAGAGATAGAGTCTCACTGTGGCCCTCAGTAGAGTGCTGTGGTGTTGATACTGGATTTTTGACTTTAGATTTCCAGGCTCTTGGTCTTGACGATTCGATGAATGAATCGATGGACCACAGGATGGACAGTAAGTTAGGTTTTATTTACAGAGGTACTATTACAGCTCTTACAAAGAGCCAAACCTCCTTGTAGAGCAGGGTATAAATGTTACAGCTCTTACAAAGAGCCAGACCTCCTTGTAGAGCAGGATGCAAGTGTTACAGCTCTTACAAAGAGCCAAACTTCCTTGCAGAACAGGATCCAAGTGTTACAACACTTCCTCTTTCTCCCTCAGAGGTCTGCAACAGTCTGCTAAAGTCTTGCTCTTCTGCTCTATCTTCCTGGAAGGTCTGCAACGATCTGCCCCTAGGCTCTTTACTCAGGGGTTTATATAGGGTCAGTTGTCCAATGAGCTGAGAGCTTAGCTGATTGGTCTATAAAATAGACCAGTCAGGAGCAGGATTGAAAATGGACCAATCAGGGATGCACCAGAAGAATCACCAGTGTTTTCCCCTGATCACCAGTCTTTTTTGTTACTGGAGCCTCTAGTGGGAGAAGAAAGCTCCCCCTTTGGCTCCAGCCTGCCAGTTTCTGTGCCAGCTGTTGCCAAGGCAGAGCCGACAGGTCCTCTAGCGCCACTCTACTGGAGGCTCCCCACCGCTTGCTCCAGCCTGCCGGTTCCTTTGTTGGCTGCTGCCGTCAAGACAGAGGTGGCAGGTTCCCCAGCCCCACTAGGCTGAGCTGGCTGAGGTGCCACTTTTCCAGTATCAGTGTCACAGCTCACAGCAACCTCCAGCTCTTGGGCTTAGGCAATTCTCTTGCCTCAGCCTCCTGAGTGGCTGGGACTACAGGCGCCCACCATGATCCTTGGCTATTTTTTTGTTGCAGTTTGGCTGGGGCAGGGTTCCAACCCACCATCCTTGGTATATGGGGCTGGCACCCTACTCACGGATCCACAGGCGCTGCCCAAGGATCTAAGTTTTCTATAATACATGTGTATTATTCTTTCATGGAAAAAGGTTAAGTTAGGGAAGGCCAAGTTGGAAATCTGTGTAGTACTTCCTCAGCAGATGGCACATTTCAGTGTAAGGGTGAAAGTAACTCCTCCCAGGAATAGCCGCCCAGAACTCATAAACACCCCATACTATCCGAACTAAAGAAAAAAAGAAAACACACATCCAATTAACAAGTATTGAAACACTGCAAGGGAAGAAGTTGACAGCAATCTGGAGAAAATATCTACAAAGCTAAGGACTTCAAGCAAGTACAAAGGTATCAGTCCTACTGACTTTCAAAGGATTTAAAGGAAATACTGATGGTAGAAACCCAATGTTTCTATAGAAATTTATAGAATTTATATGTTGTTAAAATATATATTTTAATGTTGTTAAAACATAAATAAGAAATAAGAACATGAAGAAAGCTCTAAAAACTAATCTGGATAATCACAACAAAAATATCAGAGCTAATAAAAATAAACCAGCTCAAAAAATCCAAACCCCAGGAATAAAACAAAGAAGATGAAATACCTAGAAAATAGATGGCAGAACAATGGAGAATAGCACAGGAGCCAGACACATCCTGCAAGGAAACCAGGACACAAGCATATAGAAGCCACAATTAATGAAAATCTGCGCGGAATGAATTTCAAAGCAATCACCTCAAAAAGTCACTCAGCAGCA